GTACACACACACACACACACACACACACACACACACACACACACACACAATGGAATACTATTCAGCCATAAAAAAGAACGAAATAATGCCATCTGCAGCAACATGGATGGACCTAAAGATGATTAGACTAACTGAGGTCAAATACCATATGATACCACTTATATGTGGAATCTTTAAAAAAAAGATGCAAATGAACCTATTTACAAAACAGAAACAGACACACAGACAAAAAACAAACTTACGGTTACCAAAGGGGAAAGGAGGGTGGGGAGGGATAAATTAGGAGTTTGGGATTAGCAGATACAAACTACTGTATAGAAAACAGATAAACAACAGGGTCCAACAGTATAGCACAGGGAACTACACTTGGAAAACAAACAAACAAAACAAATTAGGCTGTGGAATCATGAGAGCAAAAGAAAACAAAATCCTGTAGGTCTTAAGTGCTCTGTCTCCAGGTCCCTCTCTCATTACCCATCACAACACAAGTAAGTAAGTTGCTGATTTTTGCAAAATAAATAGTGCCAGACTTCTGTCCAGCATTCAGACGGTCTGAGAAGCACAAGATCACAGAGGGCCGGAGCCCGCGGGAGGAACAACTTCAGCAGCGTGTAACTGACACGTGTTCCTTCCATATAAGGATGTCCCCCCCTCACCCCAGCCACACATCTGCCTTTTCCCCAGCGGGCACCCACCTGTTAGCCCCCAAAATAGCACCGACCCACTGTACAGTCACAGGGTCTCTGTGCATCAAGATACTAAATATATGCCGGGCTTTGTGTTTATGAGAGCCGGCAGGAGCGAGAATCTTACGCAACCAATTTGGGTGGCCCGCACGGCCAGCACCCGCACTGTATAAATAGTAACAGTTCGACATCAGGCTGCCCTTCCCCGGGCTCACGGCGCGCTCCACGCTTCACACGAGAGACTCGGCACACAGAGGAGGGGCCGGGCTGGCCCGAGTGCGACACGTTTGTGCTGAAAACACTACCCACGACTCTGGCATTGAAATGGCACACAAGAACCATCTGCTTGGGAAATGAGAAGACACTGAAAGAAGGGGTTAACTACCCGGTTTTCCTGAGTTTGTATTCTAGTGTAGGGCGATCAAGAGAATTGAGTGTTACTCTAAAGAAGGCGGCTTCATTTACTATAATTAGTCACAGGAGAATGTTCATGGAGTTGTTAACAAGAAAGTGGTTTGAAAGGAGACACTCTGGAAAAAAAATATAAATCTGTCCTATACAGAAGATATTCTGTCATTAAATGAGAGCAAATACACAGGAAATCAGATGGAACTTCAAAGTTCTGCTCATTTTTTTCCCCACAAGGCTAGAAATCGCCAGGGCATATCCCCTGTGAAAAACAGATTTCATCTTTCATAGAACTTCTTATATATGATTTTATGTAAACCTGTCTCATTTCATAGCAGCAGTAAAATGTCATTCTTCAGAAAATATTCCGGGGGTGGGGGGCTGGCATCACGGTCCTTTCATCTGCAACATTCTTTTTCCCTGACCCCTGCCTACAGGCTGATCCTTTTCCAAAACCCAATCCTTCTGGCAGGAACTGTTTCCTTAGCAACCTCCTCCTTCCCCTCCACACAGTCAGCTTGCGGCCGTCTAGGGTACAGACTACGTCATCGGCTCTTTTTTTTCCTTAAAAGAGCTGAACCCACGTCTCTACATCATTTACCTAGTATGTGTACTGTTTATCTGCTGTTGGGATCCTTAACTTCAACTCACACATGCATCTTTCTGTCTACACCCCTTCTATTAGTTCTAGAAAACTGTTAGCCATTATACCTTCAAATATCCCCCACCCGCCGTTCTGTTGTTCCTTCTGGAACTCTGCGCGGACGAGCGCCAGGTCGCATGACCGCATCCTTCACGTTTGGAACACATCACTTGACTACGCTGCTCTTGGCGGAGAGGGCAGTTCTGTTTTTACAGCAGAGCCTGGAAGAGCTACATGCCCAAATCGGGAAAACTCCTCACATCCAGGCTGGCCCGGGCTGTGCTCCCGGAAAACTCTCTGCATGAAGTCACGGCTAGGCAGGCTGAAACCAAGAGAAGCTGTGGTCAGAGCGTTGCCGTGAGGACGGGACTGAAGTGCACCCTGCTTCGGCTGGCCTCCCGCAGTCTGGGGACCACAGGGACAAGGTGCTGGGAGGTGACATCAGTGTCTGGCCACCCGACATGTCCTCTTACACGATGTAGGGGTGTGGGGACTGCCAGGACCTCAGTCCTGCTGCTCAAACCAGCACTGCCACCACAGACTTCAGTTCTCTTCACCTCAATGTCCTCATTTATGAAATAGGGATCATGAGACAGTGCTTGTCACTCAGTGAAGGAAAGATTTCAACACAGTGACTGACAGCATCAACGAAAAAAAGTTATGCGTTAATACGGGTGCAGAACCCATGGGTGCGGAGGGCCTGCTCCTACGCCGTTTTCTATAAAAGATTGGCGCATCCATGGATTCTGGTAACCTAGGGGGCCCTGAACCAACCTGCGAGGATACTGGGGGACCATGCTCTGTGCCGACGGGCCGGAAAACACTGGCTTCCTGTTCTTTATCACATGCTTACTGTCACAAACTCAGGCTTCTAAAAAACAAGAATCTGTGCTTTCATAAAAAGGAGGGGAAGTGGCAAATGGACTTCTTTCAAAGAAATAATTTCTAAAACAGGTTCTTAAAGTCATAGTCTTGTCTCTCATTCAATACTCTTGTATCAAAATACTAGAGTGATCACTTAAATTTTAGGCAAAGTTACGATTCTGACAGGCATCCTAACTCATCACCAAAATAAATTACATTCACTCCTGAGGCACTTCAGTGTAAAAACGGGACAGTGTTGAGTGTTAGGAGCTACTTGTTAGCAGTCCAGCCTCAGGCCGGCCACCCCATCCCTCTGGACTGCAAGGCCCTCACTTCTGCAGGAGATACTCCGGGTCCTCCCCTTGCCTCACAGCGTTTTGGAAGTTTCAGATGATGACGACTGTGAGAGGTGACCTTTTCAGTTATAGGCTCTAATGTAATATTAACTATGATGCCACCTTGCCTCGTGACTCCTGGGATGTCGGCACACCCCGAGAAGCTTTACGACACGGGAAACTTGCAGCTCAAAGATCCACATCACCCCTGCCCCATCCTCCACTCCCCAGCCCCACAGAAGCCACCGCCACTGGCTGCGAGGTGGGGAAGGGGCCACAGCACGACCAGTTTGGGGAAATCTGTGAACAGCTGCTCTCCCAGTCCCATGGTTTCCCTTCTGCCTTCTCCACGCCCCACATCCCAGTCATCTC